TAAAAATTAGGAAACTAATTCCTATAATTTTTTAAATAGGATGTACAAGTAGAATTGCAATTCATTTTTTTTTCTTTGGTACAATTGCAATTCATTTCATACGGGTCCATCATATATATTATAGAGTACAATCAATTCACGGAAACAAATTGCAATTAATAATATATACCTACATAAAGTTGGAATATATCCTATACCAAATATTTTATTAACCTACTTCAAAACTTTATTTTTTAGATTTTTTGAGTTATATGATAAGAGAAAATATTCTCCAACATATCCCTTAACTTACATCATTGACAGGCATGTCTCAGCATTTGAAACTCCAATTTAGAAGTTTTACTATCATCTTAAACCATTTTAACATTATTCTTTTTCAAATAAATGTCCCAGCTCTTAAACCACGAAGTTGGGTGCCCTCAACTCTAAGACCTGTGTGTTCAAATCTCCTCTCTCCGAAATTAAAAAAAGAAACGCTTGTGAAGGGTTTTTTATATGATAATCTAATTTAACATTAAACAAGAAAAGATTCAAATATTTATTTATTAGAAATGTTTAATATAATATAGATTGCATTAAATTGCATTAAACTAATTTTTAAATAGAATGAACCACTAATATTGAAGGTTATCTCTTATTTAAGGTTTTTTTTTTTTTTTACTTCAATACATATCAAACGATTAAAAAAAAACTCTATCTAATGACAAAAAATGATAAAATTATATGTCAGTTAATCACAAAATTAACATTGCATATAGTGACAATCCATTCAAAAAGAGGGTAATGCATGTTAGATCTAAACGTTTCCAAGAGTCTTTCAGCTTGGAAAGTTTAGGTAGATACAAGTCAACTTATTATATATAATACATACATCATTTGGGTTTTACAATAATATACGAACATTGGGGGGGGGGGGGGGAAGTCATGTTTTATGTTATTATATATATATATTTCTTAATTAATTACTTGCCAAGCAATAAAGATGTTGGCAGACATGAAAACTAAATTGAGTTACATTATAATCTTTTCAAACCCCAAGGGGGCAAAAACATAAAAAAGAAAATGAAAAGACAGGTAGCTAAGGCCGACACTTTTTCTTTGTGAGTAGAGAAGGGATCAATGTACCAACTCCAAAACTGCATAGTAAGCGATCATTACAGGTAGGGACACTACGGTTCCAAAGATCACCCTGCAAAATTTAAATACAAAATATATATCAACGAGTTTCTAAACAAATACGAGTAGAAAATATTCTTTCATTCTGTACTGGCAAAAAAAAAAAAAAAACTGTCAATCCAAGCATGAAGGGTTTCTATTTCTATATACTTCGGTTTAAAGTTTATGAAACTTACGCAGTACTGAGGACATCTGCATGCAATCCATATTCTTTGGCGAAGATGAAGGAAGTAATTGACTGAGGCAACGCTGCCTGAATGATGGCGACGCGCAAAACATCATCGTGCAAGCCCACGGCAATGGCGCCAATTGCCATGGCCGTTGGTCCTGCAATAAACTTCAAAACCATCCCAAATATAGTCAGGCTGGTGCCGCAGGCTACCACCTTTTCCTGTAATGCCATGAATATTCCTGCATCCAATTTTTAGTTAATTAATTAATAATTTAACTAAGCCACCTAAAAATAAATAAATAAACAAATGAGTTATTATTTCCTTAAATGAATTAGATCTATAAAAACAGACAGTAGGGTAAAATTGTCTCACCCATGTTAAACATGGCAGTGCCAATGCCAGCTCTTGACATGATCAATATGCATTCCTCCACTATGTTTGGCATCTTTAAATGCCACCTATATCAACACCAATATAATAAATCAAAAAGCAAAATTAATCATCTCTTTTGTAATATATATTTTACCACATTCAAACTTATTTTGATAAAAAAAAGTATTGTATGGTATAGATGTATCTCATTCAATAATTTTCATTTTACAGTATAATATAGTTTAAATTATAAAATATGTAATTGTTCATATAATAACTTTTTGGATTGAAGCAACAAAAGCTAAGGTGAAAATAAACATATGGTATGCACATGCACATGGTAACAACAATAAATATCACAAATTTGTAATTTTTATTTTTTTAAAAAGAGAAATACCTCTTTGCCACAAAAGCCCAAGCAAGGCCCACGATACAAGCATAGGAGTTGGGATTCACAGCCATTTTCAGCCCCACAACCTTCATCAAAGCCCAAAACGACGGCCTGCTGCCCGCCACCACATCCTTGCTCCCTTCCAAATCTTTTTCACCTTCGCCAACATCCTCCTTTTCAGAAGAAACGGAAATCCCTGACCTCCGAAACTCCAACACAAACAACAGAATCGTCAACCATATGATAGCCTGAACCACTGACCACTGAACGACAAGATCGACGGCCTCTGGTCCGTACATGGCCCTCATCAACGGCACTCCGACAAGGAGCGAGTTTGTCAAAGTAGACAACGAGAAGCTAGTAATGGACCAGCAGTAACTTCCTTTGCTACTACACTTAGCCCAAAACGCCAGCACCCCCACGATGATTAGCTTCGATATCCCGTCAGCCCCGATAAACTTATAGTTCATGTGGAAAGGATCAATCTGTGCCGTGAACTGCACGGTAAAGAGAGGGAAAGTGAAATAACATACAAGGCGGTTTATGGCATCACACTGTTCGTGGCTGAATATCCGCCACCATTTCACGGAACCATACCCCAACATGAGCGCAACATATAGTGGTGCCATCGCCTCCACCACCTTATAAACATCAGCCCACCCTATCATTTTTTCTTTTTGATGATTTTGCCGGCTGAGACGTAGTACCAAACAGGAGACTGAACACACTGAGTAACATGTTTTGAAATGGTTGTGTAAGGTTATATTTATATACATGCAAAGGAATGATGGAGGAATTTTTTGGGTTGGTGGGTGTGTATGACCGGGGATCCTATGCCGTGGAATCGGTGAAGTTTGTGGGAGTGCTGGGAAATGAGGCGTTGCTTTCACTGATAGGAGTTTATGGTTACAAAAAAATGGTGTTAAGAATAAAGGAATGAGGTCCAGCGATTATTCCACCCACCACTGCGAATAGGGTTTCTGATTTTGTACAATAATTGTTTATTATTCTCATCACCATTGTTTATGCCCGAAAGTGGGTGCATCAAAGATGATAAATGATCAATTACTTGCTTTTGTTTCATGCATGCCGTTTGTGTTGCATTTGTATAGATGGTGACATGTTGAGCCAATTAGTGATGTGTAGAAATGTTTGAAAAGAAAAAGCTACTTCATCGTGGAGGTCAAGGAAGAAAATTAACTTTGGCCTTTGGAATAGAATTTTGTCAAAAAGTAGGAGGTTAGATTTTTTATTTGTATGTGCTCTACAAGTAATTTTATATATGGTTTTTGGTTTTTTTGGCCATTTTGTATAGAGAAATGATATATACACTCTATAAAGTTACATATTTAATTACACACTGATGGTTTTTGTTACTTATGCCATTAAAACTGACAGTTTTTGTTTCTTGTGCCACTAAATTTGATTGTTTCTGTTATTTATACCGTTAAAACTGACAATTTTCGTTATACACTAACGGTATATATAACATAGTGTATAATTATGTAAGATGTATGTATCATTGTCAATTTCTCTAACAACTATAACAAAGTTTAGGATAAATGTCAATAAATAATATTATACTAGGGTAACATAATAGGGTAATTAATCATATAAAGATATTAAGACCAAGATTTATCAAAATAAATAACAATAAATGCAATGATCATGATTATGGAATATTGATTAATTAATTATTCTCTTCAAAATAATAGAGCAAATATATACTCCTTTCGTCCATTTTTAGTAAATTTAGTTCTTTTGTCTAATAAACTAGAAATATAATAATTTATTAATAAAATTTTATATATATCTCTAATTAAATATCACCTAAATGAGATTTTTTATTTAATATATATTGTAATTATTTTTTAAAATAAAGATAAAATAAAAATAAAAATATTAAATGAAATTTTTTTAAAAAATAAACAAATAAATTTAAATATTTCAAATAAAAAAAACTAAATTTATTAAAATTAAACTAAAGGATTATGTGAAAATCTATTCACTAGTCTTTTGGATCTTTACGTCCTAAATGCTCTAGCTGAATTCCCTTAGTCGTTTGACTGACAACCCATGATGGATCCTAATATAACCTTTGTCGGGTACTTGTGTAGATCAACAATCTTGCTACATTAGACGTACCATTAGACATGCAGAGCCCTTTGAAAGATGCCTTTGTCAATCAAAAATCAACATTTAATCCCTTATCTTACAAAATTAGTAAGTTTTAGTCCCTCAATTTATAACATAACATTTTTAATCCTTTACTTTACATAATTTATAGGTTTTAGCCCTTCACCTTACAAAGTTGGTAAGTTTTAATCCCTCACCTTATATTATGACATTTTTAACCTCTTACATATACGAATTGAAGAAAATTACCTTCATCTAATATCAGGTTATAACGTTCTATTAATTTTGTTAATTGACTGTTAACATTCGTTAGCATTCCATTATAGAAAACATTAAATTTAAATTCAATTTTCTTTGTTAGTTCCAATAACAGAATGTTAACAGATATTAACAGTCAGTTAACAGAATTAACAGTTAGTTAACAGAATTTATAATCAGTTGGCAAAATTTATAGTCAACTAATAGAACTAATAGAATATTATAACATAATATTAAGTGATGGTTATTTTCTTCAATTCATACTTATAAGGGATTAAAAGTGTCATAGTATAAGGTAAGGGGTTTAAACCAACTAACTTTGTAAGATGATGAGTTAAAATCTATCAATTTTATAATATAAAAGGTTAAAAATGTCATATTATAAGGTTATGGGTTAAAATTTACTAATTTTGTAAGGTAAAAAAGCTAAAAGTTAGTTTTAGCCCCTTTGTCACATTAGCTGAGGGTGATTTGACTTGAACCACAGTGACTTAAATGGAATAACTTTCACCTGTTCTGGGATCATCCTAACATAACCTTTGTCATGTACTGGTGTGGATCAACAATCTTCCTACATTAGACGCACCATAGATATGTAGAGCACATTGAAAGATGCCTTTGTCACATTAGCCGGGGGTGATTTGACTTGAACCACCGACTTAGAATAAGTTCCACCTGTTTTGGGATCATCATGACAATATATTCTGCCCCGAAGGTTATAGTTCCATCTGTTTCATTCAAAATTCATGTCAAATTTTGATTTTGCATGTATTTTTAAATAATATTTTTTATATAATATAAATAATAATTAATTTTTTTAAATAAAATTTAATAACAACAAAAATTATGCACTCAATAAAAATTTTAATTTAATATACGTACACAGTCAAAAGATGAGAAGTAAAACAGAATCAGTGAAAGTAATTCTATATATGTCCATCAAACATCAAATGCTTGGCATCTTCATCTTCATGAACTAAAATCCACTCACTATATTTAATTATTACCCTCTTCAATGGCCATTTCAATGGCCAAGCTTGTTGATTGAACTAAATAATTAATGGATTATTTAGCTCTCTAGCCTTTTCCGAATGGATGGTTTACAATTCATAGAATAACTTTTTTCATAGGATTTTTTTCCATTGGTATTCGAATTTTTAGTTCAACTAGACCCTCGGTATATGTAAACCATGGGCGTGGTTGTTATCACTAGAATTTTTGTTAAAATAACTAATTTAATTATAATTTTATTAATTTGTAATTTTTTAAAATAATTAATTATGATATTTAAAAATATTTATTTATAAATTAATTTTAATTTATTAAATAATAAATCTTAAAGATTTTATTAATTATTAATTATTTTTAATAATCAAATTAAAATAAAAATTTAATAACTTTTAATAACTTTAACATTTTCTTTGGTGGCTCCCATTATAGCCGTAAACCACCACAAATAAGATAATATAAACAAATCTTCACTAGATTGTGGTGGGCGTAGTAGCCCTATGAACTTGTTTGCCCTTAAATAGCAAATCAAAGATTTAGAGGTTAAATTGTTAATTTCAGTTCTTAAATTTTGTATTTTAAACATTTTTTATCTTTAAATTATTTTTACTATTTTTTTAAGTCTATTAACTCTATATATTATACTGTTTTAATCATTTTATCAATTAAATAATAATGTGTGGCCGTTAACTGATCATTTAAAATTTATTTTTCTTCAATTTTCTAATGATATGTACATTATAAATGGGCCCTTTAGCTCAATTTGACAAAATATACGGTCTCCATATTAGTAATTTTAGCTTAAATGTATCAAATAATAAATTAAAAAAATTAAAAACTATCTACAATTAAATTTCATTTTAAATTAAAATATTAAAACTTACAAATGAAAAAAAAAATCTCTAAATTCTTCTTCATCATCACTCCTTTTCCCCACCCAAAACATTTTTGGGTACTAAGAATTCATGTAAACTAATTTAATGACGTATCATTGTTACATCATCAACAAGTGTCATTTTGGATTGAATTAACAGCGATATCATTACTTAATTAACAAAATAAAATGTAATTTGTCAAGTTGAAGAAGCAAAAAAGTTCTAAAAATAGTTCAGAAACCAACAATATTCAAAATAAAAAATTTAGAAAATAAACTTGACTTTTAACCAAATTCAAATAAAATGAGATTCTTCTCATCTTTTAGACTTTTACAACTTGAAGTATGACAACTAAAATTGTGCGAAGTAATTAGGTATTCATGTGGTGGATCTCAAGTAATGTGAATTTTATATTTCTTGCTATTAGGAAGCTGAAAATTTTTCTGAAAACTGAATTTTTCTAGACTAAATGCACACTTAAACTTTTTAGGCTAAACAGAAATTTTCTGAAAACTGAATTATCCTTTCATTATATATGTCGGATGAATTGGCCAATTAATCAAAAGATAAAATAAATTTGGTCCATAAAAGACGAAGCAAATTGTTCTTAGCCTTTTGGTTTGTTCGTATTTTGTTTAGTCATTTTTCATTGATCAAAACAAAAGAGTGGATGGTTCTAATGTGTTCCGGTCTTAAATGTTCC